TGTCTTGTGACAGAAAGTGCCCAGTGTGTAGTATAAAAATGACTAACGTGTTGGTTTTGGCACACACATAAATGGGGGATTTCTCATCATGGTAAACAGACTGTCGGTGTCCCGTTAAAGAACTATCATGGAACCGATTTTCAGGATGTTTCAAAGAAATGATCACAAAGTTTACATATTTCATATGAGTACATATTTTTGCAATTATAAATATGAAGAATTTAATTAAAATACATTTGAAAAAGTGACATCTGCCTTTACAAAGTGACTGATAATTAAAAAAAGCTGGAGCAATTACATGTGGTTTCTTTATTTTACTAAGTTTAGTCTTGAACCCCAAGTTCTGCTACTTTAAGCACATTCTGCTGCTCCGCACTTTCACTACAGCAACATTTCAACAATTCATCCTTGTAACATTGTAGATGTAAATCAGAACAACAAGGAAAAGCACCATGGGCCCTTTAATGTTTTGTCTATTTTTGTGCATTGTGTTAAGCACTTTGAATTGCCTTTGTGTATGAAAATGTGCTATATAAACAAACTTGCCTTGCCTAGCATGATTTTTCCTTGTAGGGAAGTAGACCTGTACATATGGGTTAAAATACCCCTCTTTACAACATATCACTATCCCCATGTACTAAAGTTGGAAAAAGATTAGACCATAACGTACAGGACCTTAGTACTGTGTGTATGATGCAGCCTATCCTGTTTGGCCACGATGTTTTCAGATTGCTCCTGGACTTGTCTTTTCCAAAGAAGGGAACAGCTCTACATGTTTCCACAGAACCAAGCCTTTCCAGGCTGCTGCATTCAGTTACAGCTTGAACTTGGACCATTCAGTCTAGTCATTCGGATTAGAAATCCCCTTTTTTGGAAAGGAAAGATTCATCATACACTAAGTTTCTAATAGTAGAGAGGTGAGTGGCGTAATTGGGTTTTAATATTAAACAACATGCTGCGCAGTAAATAAAACATTTGAACTAGGGCTTATACTAAATATATTAAAAATCAAAAATGTGAGAACATTAGTAGTTAGTATTTAATATTAGAATCAGATCTTTCTGGGGTGCCTGTGTTGCAGTACATGTTTCCACTGGGACATGAAGGCATCCTCCGGGGAGCCCCGCCTCTCTCTGTCCCAGGTAAGAACACCCCGAGGGTTTGTTCACCTGTCCGGAGTTGCGCATAGTGTAAGGACGTGAACACAGACCCGACTGGGTGTGAGAGTTCCTGAGCTCCAGGACGGATACCAGCCGCCACAGCCATGGCGGAGTCCCAGCTCATGTACATGGAGGACGGCCACATCGGTGCCCAGGTCCCGGAGACCAAACCGGAGTTTTACTACAGTGAAGAGCAGCGCGTCGCCATCGAGGAGCTCATCAAGAATGGTGACGGTGCCTTCAAATCACGCCTCAAGGAAGACAATATGAAGGACTTTCTGTCAGCCAGAGAGGTGAAGCTGCTGTTTAGCACTTTCAAGCAGTACGACTCTGGTACTGACAGCAGCAGCAAAGCCGGGACCCGGGAGCAGGGGCCCACCGGCAACGACGCGGATTCGGGGGTTCATTCCACTTACTGGCCCCAGATGCCGGACACAGAGGTGCCACCGCTGGATATCGGCTGGTCCAGCGGGGCTATGTTCAAAGGGGTGACGCGGGTGACCGTGCACACGCACCTGCCTAAAAACAATGGACCTCATATCAAGGAGGTGGTGCGGTGGCTCATCCAGGAGGCAAGCAAGGTGAGGAGGGCTGCAGGCAGGGGCAGAGAGGGCCTGCATAATATTTAGATGGATCCAGAGAACACAAACAAATAAGGACGTTGGTCAAAGTAAACATAATAATACAGGTCATGATATTCTTGATTTATACTGGGTAGTATGGCTTGCAAATCTCCAGGCTTAACAGTGGTAGGATAGCAAGGCTCATTTGGACTTGGAAACTCAGTTTTTATTGTTTTGCACGTTAAATAAAGTCAGCTTTACTTCTATAGTGCAATATCAGAAATCACACTGAGAGACCTCGCAGCATATGATATCCTCTGTCCTTAGACCCCTTCAGGTAAGGAAATGAGTGAACAAGGAAAAACAGATCTAGGACAGTATAAAGGATTCTAGACCTTTCTCCCAGGTTCTGAAGCCTGGCTACAGGTGGACACTGATGTTGGCAAAATAATAGTTTTAGAGTTTTTTTAAGGGAAAAATGTACCACTTTTAAAACAGTCTAATAAACACTGTTATTTCCAGGGATTCATTTTTAAAAAAAAAAGAGGCTGTAACCTCAGTGAGATATCCCTGGTTAAATAAAAGTGAATAAATAAAGTAAATTCGTATCACTGTAGCATTAAGATTTCTTTAAATTTTAACTCAGAGACCAGTCAACTAACATTTTCAGACAAAAGTACCCAAACATTTGCCAAAACCTTGGCCACGTGGTGTATGTGTTGAAATGTGAACTACTTTTATCAGCTTTTGCCTGTTGTACCGGGCTTCACTTCACTAATGCTTACACCAACACAAACTGTTTCCATGGTTCTAAGGTTCTAGCCCGCTCCCAGGCTGAGTGAATTAATGTCTGAGCGAGTGCTGCCCCCTCACACAGTAACTAAGAGCTTGTCTCTGTATTTGACTTGACCATTGTAATGTTTAGTCATAGAGCGCTGGAGCTCAGCTGAGTCATCTGTTCCTCCTGCTCACAGCAGCGCACTCTGCTCGGCTCACCCTGCCTCACTGTGCCATTTTAAAAATGGGTCAGGGAGGGCGAAAGGAGCATGTGCCAGATTCTCACCCAGGGTTTTTCATTACACAACTCCTCTTAGCATTCACTCTGAATTTTCTCCTCCTTTCTTGTTTCCTTCTTTCCTTACGCACCCTTTTTCTTTCAGCATTCATACATTGATGTGTTGTAATGGTTTTCTTTGTTCTTGTGTTCCTACTTTCTGGTTTGTTGCTGTGTTTGTTGTGTTGCAAGGGGTGAATCAAGATCACTTGTGCTTGAAAGACTGTCCTTTCCCCCTTTTGTAAGCCTTTATCGATTTAAAGAGAATGATTTAGACTAAGTGTACCCTGCTTCCTGGTTGTTCGGCCTTACCATCAGCTGAGTGGTATATTTACTGCTGTAGTTCACTCGCTCATAATGTTTTCTGATAAACTAGGAATGAGGACTAACAACCAAACTACTTACTTAGCTTTGTAATCTACATTTTTTAAAAAGCCTTCTCTTTTGGAGTGCTTCCCAACGATGTCCGGTAAATAGGAGACTAAATGTTGTTAAGATTGGTGTGCACGTCTGGAATGTAACTAACAGACGCACGAGAAAACATGTTGAGCAACCAGTTCTATGTATTCATCTTTGCACGCAGAATTGGTGTTTTGTTAATCTACTTCTGCTTGTTGATGATCCAGTATAAGATTAGCAGCACAAAGTCGACCGTCCACATGTCTCAGCTTGTGTCTCTGCTGTTACTCGCATGTCTGCTCAGCATTTTCTCTCAGTGAGACACTGGATGGAAACAACCCGCCTTTTCTACATGACAGAGGAACATTTGTTGCACATTTAAAGAGACACTCCTCCATGACCTGGGTTTTCAGAGAACAGTGGAACAGCTGAATAATGCTCATAACCAAAGCAGCGTCCTCTGCAAGTACTGAACATGTCCCTACATGTTTGAAAGCACCAACTTTTGCTTGTCTAAATCTTTTAACCAGTACATCTCTCATGCATGATTATTGTACAGAATGTGCAGCTTCTGTCCGAGTACTGTGGCTTTGACTTGTAAAGGTTATTTATGACCCACAGATCTTGCCTTGTAGCAGCAGGGCCCAGCAATGGCATGTTTGGTTATCTGTCTGTCCCCTGAACAGTTTGTTCCACACAACTTGACTGTAACAGACCAAACTCACATAAACTTACATTTAGATATTTTATGGTCAGAGACAAGGAATCCTGATATTTCCCTCGCCTTGTGTGTAGAGCCACAATGAAGCCAACATATCCACTATGAATGGGTTCAGTTTTATTGAGCATGGCTCAAAATGACCTCTTCAATACATTGTTCATTTCCACTTCTATATGTAGCAGCCTGCAGGTGCTGGTAATGGGGTTCTAGACTTGATGATTTGTGGAAACCTTTGGTAGTTGGCCTTAATGTTTCTCACATCCATCAATTTATGGTGTTCAGTTAACAAAACAAAAACTATTACACATGGATTGTAGCTGTGGCTTTAACTCTTGCACTCCTTTATATTTCTTTCTGGTCATTTTGAACATAAAGTTGTCATTTGTACCAGTTATAGATACAGTAAATGCAGAAAATCATTTTTCAACTGTTCTGCCTACATACACAGCTGTTGGCTTTAAGGAATTCCTTTGTTTGTTCAAAGCAAAGTACAATCCTCTACTAATCCCAGCACTCTGACAGGAGAGAAACTGAAAGCTGCTGGCGAGTAGAGACAGGTTTATGGCCTAAATTCCTCCATTCATTTCCTTTTGTTGCTGTGAAGCCTTATCTCTCTGATTTGTCACCCTGACTGGAACTGAGCTGAGAGACAGGTGAGAGGTTTTCTGCCCTGTTGTAAGACCAGTAGCTACGTGGCCTTGCTGTGCCCTCAGGGTGAGTGTATCACTGGGTGGCAAAGTGCCTCAGTTAGACGGATCTGTTTTGTCTGCTGGTTTCTTTGATACCTGTTTAAAAAGATTATACTCATAAGCATTTTATTGATATACTGTATCTTACTTGACTAGAGGTCACATACTGTAGATGAAAAACACTGTGTAAGAGGAAAGGTGACCTAGGCTTATGTCATTATTGTAACAAGGAATATCACTGACATGTATTGTCATTAGTTCATACTTGTTGAAAAATCCTATTTATTTTGGAAGAAAGTTAAAGTTTCCCTATTTTTGGCATCTGTAAGTAGCAGTGAGTTAGATACATGTTGGAAGTTAGTCGTCGGCCGGGTGAAACAGTTTTTTGACTGCATGAATGTCGGTGTAACACTGTTTTCTGATCATTAAACTGTGAAAATTGAGACCTGGGCACTGAAGAACCTTTCTGTGTCATTATTTAGCCTGGACACTTACTGAGTAGTGGATAGTTCTGCAGCTACACACTGAGTCAGAGCTGAGATCCATGCATTTTCTTCAGTTAGTGTCTTTTTCTTACCTCCACAGCATGAAAAAAAACTGCTTTGATTTTCATATGTTACAAATCAAGCACTAAAGATAAATCCATAACCCCCCCTCTCCTCAGTAAAAATTAGCAATAAGTCATATTTACAAATCAAAATTCCAAGTAAGAAAGTGCAAAAAATTAAAAACTTTATGAAACATCTGGATCAGCTGACACTGGGAAAGAGGCAGGGTCCACCGTGCACAGGGCTGCCAGTCTATCACAGGGCTGACACACCCACACTCATTCCTACAGGCAAATTAAAGTCACCAACCAACCTAAGCTGCATGTCTTTGGACTGTGGGAGGAGCTGGAGCACCTAGAGAGAACCCACGCAGGCACAAGGAGAACATGTAGACTCATGACAGAAAGGTACCGGGTCGGCCCGGGCTCGAACCTGGAACCTCCTTGCTGTGAGGCAACAGCGATAACCACTGCTGCCCACACTGTTTTTAAAAATGTAAATCCAAAAGAGTTTTGTGATAAAACTACTTTAGTACTGCACAGCATGAAAACCTACTATGTGCTAGTTGTTAAGTCAGGCTTTGCCATGTAAGAATGTCTGTGTTAACAAAGCCAGCCCAGAACTGACAAAGTGTGTCTGAATCCACACCGTCTGGGTCACTAGGCACAGTCAGGACCCCAAAGCATGTGTGAAAACACAGGAAAAATGGGGTTTGCATAATTTTGGACCTTTAAAACGATTCCACTTGTTCTCTTTCAGATGATAGCGATAGTGATGGACCTGCTCACCGACCTCCAGATTCTGCAAGATCTTATGGATGCAGCCTGGCGTCGCTCCGTGCCCGTTTACCTCTTGTTGGATGGCCATGGAATGCCACACTTCCTGGATATGTGCTCCAGGCTGCAGATAGGCTCCCAACACCTTCGGGTAGGACAGCGCTTTTTCATGGAAGATTAAAGTAGCACAGACAAGAAGTAAGAAAGTGGCCATGGACACATTGTACAGGCAAACAACTAATATTATAAAATCAAAGGTTTCTGACAGATTTGATTTACTAGTACAATGATTTAAATACCCACATTTCAATGCTTCAGAGGGACAGTGTCTAATAGGCCATGCCCAAGTTTTGTTTAAAAACAGTCTCTAAAGCAGATTTGAGCATCGCCTCCTTCTGTCAGTTAGGCTAGTAGGAACAGAATTTGGAATTCTGCTACATAAAGACCACATTTGGATACCTGATAGAACTTTGGTACCATTTCATACACAATGCTGCTTATAAATTGTAAAACTAAAAAAGGCTTGACATTAAAATGGTGGCGTGTTGGCAAAAGTCAATGACAAATAAAATCTCAAAACAGAAAATAATCAGAGGTATCTGTGTGTAGGTCCACTCTTTAAGGGGCCACAATTATTTTAATTGCACTAATTCATAAAATATCATCCATCCAGAATTGAAGTAGATACAGGTATTCTGCTTGCTTTACTTTTGCACCTATTTTACTTGTTTATCTAAAAGTTGTATTGAAAAAGTCTTGGGTTTAATTGTCAAACTCTCTGCTGGATGCAGCTTTATACAGTGTGATCCTCTTTACATTGCTGGCTGCATTTTCCTCTCCATGGTCTAACTGCAGTACATCAGAGCCAGAACACTGCAAGGAGTTGGATTTGGCTTGTCCTTTGGCAGACTCCCTGGTTCCCTCTGTAATAAGTACATGCTGATAGACGGGGAAAAAGTCGTGTTTGGCTCCTACAGGTGAGGCCTCTGTGTTTGTATTTTACATGGCACTTGTTTTATGTTGCATTACTTGTCAGGAGAATTCATGTTTGTGTTGCCTCAGTTAATTTTGTGTTAAGTACATAGTAATTGTAGAATTCAATTCACTTAAAGGTAGGGTTGGTGATTCATTTGTTATACTTCTTGAAGTTCTGTTTTCATCCTGATGGCAATGGATGCATTAAATGCACCGACAACATAAAGAAAAAGATCCTTTATCTGTGGCAGCAGCAGGACTGAAAAAAGCCTGACCAGTAATTTACTGGGACCAAGCAAAACCCACTGGACGTCCTACCTGCCTGTCAACCTACTTCCTACACTCTGCGCTTGCACTCATTGCACGAGCCAAGAGTCCTCCACAAAACTACATGGCTATGCATCCCATAGTTGTAGAGATAATTCAGTCTGCACCAGAGTGGTAGACAGGATAAGCTACCTATAGTATAGTGATCCAACACCCAGTTTGTAATAAATTTGTACGTATTTTCACATCATGACTTTAATATTTGCTGTAAACCTGAGAACACTCAGAATCTAATGAATGTGATAACTGCTGTTAAACTTGTCTGTTTCAGTTTCTCCTGGTGTACATCTCGTATGGATCGAAACATGATCACTGTGATGACGGGACAGGTGGTTGACTCCTTTGACCAGGACTTCCGTGAGCTTTATGCCACCTCAGAGAAGCTGGACCTCTACAAGGAGTTCCACGTCAGCCCGCCTGCTGCCAGTGCGACCGCCACAATACGTTCCAAAGTGGGGACTAAACGGCCGCCAACGCCAGGAGCCACATCTCGCTTCCAGGTTACCTTAGGGGATTCACGAAAACCCAACATCCAGGTCCCTGCACACAAATACAACAACCCCAAATACTTATTAGCAATGGGGGATATCCCACGTCCAACAGGGTCTCTGCAGGAGACAGGAATTAAGAGGGAGTCAGTTAAGGCTAAGGTTCTTGAGGAGATGTACCCAAGGCCCCAAGTCACTAGCAGTGAAAAAATGGGCCAGCTGAGTCCAGTACATTCAGAAGACCCTAGAGAAGGCTTCCAGAAACCCAGTGGATTCATGCAGAACAAGAAGAGTCGGCTGAAGTCACTGAAGTCAGTCTTCAAGAAGAAGTCATCCAGTAAGATTTCAGTTGACAGCATGGCAAACAGTGCAAGCCCTTCACCCACGGAAACCAGTCGGACTGATGAGACCGAAGACAACTTTGAAGTGATTGTGTTATCTCCACCCAAGTCGAAGGGTAGAAAGCCGAATCTGCGCCAAAGGACAGAATCTGAGCAAACTGTCAGCACTGCACAGGGCAATGAGAGTAAGTCATGAATAAAATGACTATGTATAATTGACAAATTATTTAATCCTGTGGTTCCCAACCCCTGGGTCAAATTTTCCCAAAGGGTTGTGAGGTAAATCTGAGAAGTCATGAAACAATTTACCAGGATAGGGAGGCAGAAAAATACAGCAAATGTTTGAGTAATTCAAATGTATTAAATATTTTATAATATAGCAGTAACATGTTTACATGTATTATCCTCTATGGATTTTGAGTGAAACATTCCACATAATGTCTCCTTCACCTTATTAACCTCTCTTTAAATTTTCTTAGGTGGTTCTAAGAAACAACATCAAGAAAAAGGAGCATGTAAGGTGTCCTGATGAGAATCTGCCGTCACTGACCACACAATGCAGTCGCGTAGTGTAATAATGGACAACAGAATGAGTTCCAAAACACCGTCACCCTTTGATTGCGCAGTACTGAGAGCATTTTTTACAGTTTTTTATAAAATGAATGTCATCTAGAGACGCTATTTTTATGTTTGGTGCCAAATTTAAAATAAATAATCCAAGTATTTTGGGATTTCTGCTACCATAGTGGGGTGCACAAAGGTTTACTGAGATATTTCCGAGTTGAGCCCTGTTTGAGCTACAGGAATGCTGGGGCAACTGCTGAGTGTGTAGTTGTATAGTGCTTAAAATTCTGAAGACCTATTTCACGTCTTCTTCATCTGCTAAGAAAATATAAAGAACAGTTACAAATTAAAAACAGCCCTTCCAATACTCAGATGGCAGACATACAGCCAGACTGAATTTTGCCTGAACAAGAATTATTTGTAACCCGGAGCCACACCTGCCCTTGAAAGACCAGACCAGAACCCCTCTGATCTGGTTCAACCTAAAACTAAACACTGTCAGATTGGATGATTGTTACTTTTGCCTCTCCCTTCTAATAAAACCCTATGACATTACAGAGAGAAATTGTACTCAGTTGGCAGTTTATTAGGTACACCAAGCTAATATTAAGCTACCTCTTTATATAATGCAGTACAGTTCAACAGCAGTACAAACTACTGTGCATTTTCCAAAATGGCCATACAGTTGAACCAACACCTCTCTAAATCATTGCAGGACTGTTGGATTAGACTGCATTAGTTGTAGCTTGGTGTAATGTATTTAATAAACAGCCAACTGAGCGTGTAATAAGTAAAAGTTAGTAAATATACACCTTGCGGGCTATTACGTGTACCTGTGAATGATTGTTACCATGAATCCATGTTGTCTGCCTGATGCACTGATAAGTTGTGCGATGTTTTGTTCACTGTGTTTATAAAACAGCTTCAGCTTAGGAAAGTCCTAAATGTTTTAAGTACTTGTCTTGTTCAATGATTATAGGCCTGGAAACTGCCTATTCAATGTTTGTGTACTTTTTAAAAATACAGCATAAATATACTCGACTGTTAAGTGAGGTCTTGGATCTTAAAATCCATGGCTGTTGGGGCTAAGAGCTACATTGTCCTCACTTTGAAAAATCCTCACAACAGTAGAGGAAATTTGATGACAAAAATACCCAGAACACAGTAACAAAGAAACTTACTACATGCCGTAGAAATAAAATGAAATGGGAGAAGAGATCCAAAGTGCATGTCTGTTCACAGATAAAGCATCACTTTGATTGCAGCTCCACCTAGTGGTCACACTGTAGTACTCCATTTAAGATGGAAAACTGATGATTGTGCTGCATAAACCAGCCACTAGCTGCCTCCCCTGTCCTCCACCTGCTTCTCTTTTCTGGGTGTATGCTAGCAGCTCAGAACTCGAGAGGAACCACAGGCCTGGTGGGAAGTCAGAGTTGCGATGAGCGTGGGGGTGGGTGACATGTGATGCAACACTGAAACAGGAAGTTAGAGCTGTAGCAGGAAGAGACATTCTCACACTAATTTATAGACTAGTATTACTGCCACACAACAATTTCTTTGACACTTGCATCTCACTATCCCTAAACCTGCAACTGTGAATTCTTCTGTTGACAAATGGAGAATGGAAGAAGGGATTCGAGCTTGTCAGCAAGAGGTTACTAATGTGTTGTAAAAGTACTTGAATACCAACAAGCAGAATGTCCTCCAACTATGTCACATAGAAACAGACATATTGTATGACAGGCTGTGTGCATCAGATATCTGAGCTGGGCTGGATGTGCTTGCTGGTCACAGTCATAATGGAAAACTTTAAAGAAAAAGCAATGGCAACTTTTGATTATATTAAATCTTGAGAAATTTCATTTTCTGCTATTGTACTTTTGTCCTCACTTCATTTATTTGATAAGTTGACTAGTTACTTTTTCAAATGAGATTAATAAAACGCAGTATAATCACAAGACTTTGATTTCCAGTGGCAAATATACAGGCTACCCTACAATATGTAGGGTAGCCTGTACAATACTGTGATATTGATACTTTTACTTAAAGTAAGCAATCTGAGTACTTCTACTGTTTCTAATATAATTGTCTTGTTACAACTCACCTATGGAAATATCAACTTTGGGCCTATGTAGTGCTTCAGAGTATTTTTTTTATGAAGAATAATATAAAAAATACCAGTCACCCCTTCATTAATGAGATAAGTTGGACAGTAAAACAACAACAATAACATTAACATACAATCAGAAAGTAGTTTGTACCAATAGCTATAACTTGGCCCGAGTCTTCAAAACATGTACTGAAGTAATCCTGTTACACTTAGATCAAATTTAGGACAACAGCTTGTACTTGTTTGTTTTCTGTGCTACATTACCTTGAGGAGTTGTAGACTACTAGCAGTACTATAGAACATTACTTTGATTAGCAAGACTCCATATTGTTTATATATCATGTTTTACTAGCGTGAGCACTTGGGGGCAAGCAACATGCACTGGGACGGTGAACATGCAGACTGCATGTGGTGCTGAGAGTTTGGGAAGTATCCCTAAAGGTACCAATAAATCAGGTGAAGATGAAGAACATGAGCCGGCTGATGCAAACGATGAAGGTTCCAAAACAAAACGGTCATGCAGCCTTAAGGATGAGTACAATATTTTTTGTGAGGAAAGTTGAATGAAAATTAAACTACGATTGTTTATAATTAAAAACAACATGGGACACCATGCTTTTAACATAAAACTGCAATTGCACATGGCCGTGTTTTCAAGAAGCAACCAAACAACTGAATTTGGTCATTGTCAGATGAAAATGCATCCAAGTTAAAATCAGGTGTAGGTTACACATAGCTGTTTACAGCTGTTTCAGCATGCTCAACACTGACTGCTTAGATCTGCAGTTAGGAGCTGCTAAACACCAAAAAGCATGTAAACTTACTTAATGTCTTTAGCAAATTCTCAACCAAAGCTTGGTTTCAAGTCGACACATTCACTGGAGGTTAACTACACTTACAGGAAGTCATTATTTGAAACTCTTAAATGTATGGTCTTAAATTATATTGTCAGCACAAGTTAACCAGGAAGATTATTGTGTATGAGGAAGGTCAGAGGAATCGGTGCAAGGCCTTTGCAAGTTAAAAAAAAAAAAAAACTTAAAATTGAATGGTTTCTAAACCTGTAAACATTGCTTTAAACCACAAAGATGGTTTAGGCGCTTCCCCCTTCAGGAAGCACATGCAAGGATGCGAAGCGAGTAACTCGACATACACACAGAAATGGCAACTGTGAGGAAGTGGGGTGTGGTCTCATGGTTTCAGAGTGCATTCAGCTGAAAACATTGCTGCTGATTGCTCTTTAAACTAAATACAGGATCCAGTCTTACATGTCAACAGACACCTGAATAGTTTTTATTAAATAATTATTTCACAACATAACACAAACACTGCTTACAATGAGATTCATTGTCATGCACGGTATAGAATAGTTACAGTAAGACATTATATACAGCTTCTTTCCAGTATTACAGTGCACACACTGCATTTAGAATCAAACATATTGCACTGTGCAGGCTTCTGCATTTCAAAGTAACTACTCTATGTAACGCTATAAAGTATCCAAACATGTACAACTGAAGAAAAGTAAGTTCCAAAAATGCTTGGAAATATATCAGGTCGTAACTGAAGTATACATCTTCAGATGACACCCAACTTAACATTGCTTTTGAAATAAACTCAAAATGGCCCAGTGGACAGAAACAAACCTGTTTGCTGTTACTTTAATTGGAAGTGGCCATTTCTAAGCTGTGTGAGGACTGTCCAGAAGCTGACAAAGAGTGCCTCTTGACTTTTTATAGTATCCATGAAATGGCTGAAACATCACTCATGTGATTTGTCTTCCTGATCCTAGAAACTAAATCTTGGGGAGCAGATAGGCATTAAGCAAAAAGCAACAATCTTCTCATGGAAGGAGATATAAAAAGTGCAGTAAATGCACAGCCACCTATTTTAAAATGACGTAAAGAGAAAAATACTAAATCCACATGTACCAACAAAGTTTTCACTAACATCATCTTGTCAAATGTTCTCTGGTTTGTCAAGTTGCCAAAAAGGGCAACAGAAAAGAGTTTTCACCTTTGACACAGTTTATCTCAGTCTGTAAAATGAGAAGTGGAAAGAGAAGTCCCTCTTTTAGCCTAAATGGCCACGGGCAGTGACTTTCTGTCTAGCCTCCAGTGTCCTCACTCAGTTGTTTTGCAGTGTTGAATACAGCTGATGGGTGGGACAGAGCCCTACTGTGGTGCAGTACCGTAAATGTCCATAGGGGGACATTTCAGTCCTGAGGCGCTTGGTTTATCACCTTCTTCTTACGGACTGAGACCAAGTCGTAAAATGGATCTTTGGTGATACTTGCTCTGTTTGAAATAAAGAATAGCCTCATTATGAAAAAACAAAAACAAACAAACAAGCAAAAAACAATGCAGCAATATTAGTGTATGTGAATGAGCTGGTATTGTTCTGAGGACCAGTTTGGGTTTTAAACAACCATAGTGGAATTCTGCACTATGAGGACATTTTAACCAGTCCTCATGATTTGGTTTTAAGGTTCAGGGTAGAATTAGGTTAGGATTGTATTATGTCAAATAGGGTTCTCACAAGATCTAGCAAGACATACTACTGTATGTGCTGAGAAAGATATAGAAAACTGTCAATGTACCAATCCTTTGTAAATCTTCACAGTGCCCATTTAGCCATTTCTAAAGCCATTGAAGTCAATGATTAATAAGACAATACTATTGCCAAAATTGGCAGTTGCACTTTTTTTATGGAGACTGTTTACATCTTTTAGTTCTGCTGCTTGTCTGAATTGACTTATTCTTGCAAAGTAGTTGCTTCTCAGATTATGTAGCCACTAAATGTTCAAAGTAATGACTATTTCTAAACACGGCAGATTATTTAATTTTTAAAGTGTTATTGTGCCCAACTTCATAATAGTGTTTGCAATGCCATGTAGTGGTGATAACATCCTCATCCTGTGTAGCGCACCGCTTTATACTACAATACAAGATCTGATCATAAGTGGATGTGGTCTCCAGCGGAACCAGCCACACCTGATTTCACCCAGCTGTGAGTGTGGGTGTGGGCAGATGTTTACCAGTCTTACAACTTTCAGCTAAGTGCAGCATTGGTTTTCCTCCATATCAGATCTACTGGTGAGTTAACTCTTTAAGGTTAGATATGAAATGGCAATGAGGGAAACAAATAACGGCTATTTATTAGTTAATAATGGTCCACACAAACAGCATTGTGGAAATGTGCATGTATTATATTGTGATGTGTCTTATTATTGTCATGTTTCTGTTGATGTCCGCACGCTGTGTGTTTGTGTGTGGTCTGACCTGATGGCCTCAATCCAGGAGTCTCGCTCTTCGGCGCTGGCGGCGCAGATAGTATAGGACTGATGTTTCCCCTCCACCACTCTACCATCCGTCTCTGTTTTACAAGCTTTGATTTTTTGTCCTCGACTGTTGGGGTTGTACAGCTCCAGACAGTACTAGATGACACCAGACCACCACAGTGATAATCAGTCTATAAATCAATCCATCTATCAACTGTTATACTCAAACACTGTTGAATTCATTTAGCTTTTTAAACTTGTTGAAAGAAAACAAAGCTGATGGTCTTACTGGTTTGCGAGAATACGGTACTTCTCTTACACAAAGATTCTCTAGAGGGATGATGCCTCTGGGCTCTTTATCCTGCAGGTACATAAAAAAAAAAAAAGTCAAGGGTTTTCTGATCAGCTATGACTAAGTTTAAGATCGGGTTAGGTTTTCACAACTACATCTTCTTGCTGCAAGAAACCAATGTCTCTAGTTTGAACCTACTGCTAGGTAGCCCTACCATAAACCATTACTGTAAGAGTTTGACTGAATTGAACAATTATCCTAACAGGCGACCCCTAGAGGCCATTTGAAGCATTTCAATAAGTTGTGTTTTCTTTGGAAATACAGTGGGAAAACCAGTGAGAAGAGGGCTGGTTGGGCTTGACAGACTTCAAAATCTCATATATACTGTATACCAATGTGATTTAAAAGGAGCAAAGTGGGAGTCTTACAGTTGTGAACTCAAAGTAATAGAGGCAGTTGTCAGTAAGAATGAACCATCGTCTTTTCCACGTCTTCACTCGGCCTCCTGAAATACAGCGACAACAAGAAATTGAGCTTTTTATAGGCACAGTTGTCAGGGGAACTTTTTAAAAGTTGTACTGTAACAGCTATATATCTTTGTAACCTACCACTAGTGCTGTGTGGTCTACATGCAGAAGACAAGTCAATACTCCAATATTGGGTCATTTCCTTACTGCTTCCTCTGTACTTTCCCATTTTAAAACCTTATATAGCAGCTTAGGTGTAATATAGCTCAATAGTAAGAAGAACATCTAAACCTCTTTTCTGGCTTCTGTAGGGTTCAGTGTGTGGATTTCTAGCTGAATATGTTTAAGATTGTGGCATTTTGGTGTTCTAACTTGTTTCACAACCCATAATAACTTAAAAAAGTATTTCTGGAGAGGTGTTTTACCAAGTTTTTGGAGCCAGCCTTCTCTGTCAGGGTTGAAGAAGGTGTGAGTCAGATCATTCCCATCATCTTCTGGGATTTTGAAAGGCTCATTGCGAATGCTCTCGTACAGTTTCTGGGAAGAAAGTAGTTGAATAGGTAAAAAAAAACAACAACAAACACCCAAAGTTGCAGTCAGTTAATATCTTGTACCATCTGCTGACCATAAATTGTGAATTAAAGCCATAATACTAATCACAGGATATTTGGTGCTTAAAACTCAAACGATAGGCTGCTCGCTGCCCTGCTGTATTCATTCACATTATTCCACTCGCTTAAACTGATATACCAGAACATGTCTGTGTAAACGTGACACTGAATCAGTTGCTTCTGATAAGTGGGATGTTGGTGTGTTTACACAACAGTAGTGGAACATAAGCCTACACTCTGGATGCTGTGTAACCACCACATCCTGCCGTCGGCTTTTAGTCATGACTGACCTGTGGGTGAAAACTTGTTTGAACAATGTGGACATAGATGTGTGTTTCTGTTCCAGATGATGTGGTGATTAAGAGTTGTATTCATTTTTCAAGCAGAGAAAGTACTGCATAGTTATACAAAGTATACTGTGTCTAATTTTGATGCTCATTTGATAAAAAATAATTTTACTATTTTTATACTGTAATTATAACTTAATTTAATACCAGATCTAATCTCATTTTGTGATCCCTCCGAAACAGAAGTAACTGGCACTTTGTGGGTTACACCAAGCAAAGTGATTCACACCAATGTACTGAAAAATCCTCTTTATATTTGCACAGATTTACACTTGAATACTACAGCAAAGGAA